CTAGTTGCTCGAATGTACTGTATTCGTTCATGAGATAATGTCTTTTTCTATTTTTCTTGTTTATTCATATATTGTCTATGTGTATTTCTTATTCTATCGTTTTGATTGATTTCACTTTGAACAAGAAGATCACACTTTTTTTGTGGTTTTTCTATAACTTTCTTTTGCCAGCTTTTCATCATTATTTGTATGTAGAATAAAAGTAAAAAAAAAAATTTGTTTCTCTAATAGTTTTCCTCGAATCTAATCTTGATAAAAACTTTTATTTCGATAACACTTTTTCATAACATCAGCAGAAGATTATTGATCGCGAGTCTCTGTAATTTTAAGATTTAACATTAAATTTCATTTGATTGATTCTAAAGAACATATAACTCTCTTTAATTCTTTTCTTGATTAGTTTTCAATATTTTCTCCCAGTAGTTAATTCATAGAAAATGTAACTGCTACATTTGAAAATATATTTTCACATTGAAGTTCTTTCTCAAAAAAAGTTGTTTAGTCATTGAAAATTTATCTTCTGAATTATCTCTTAACCTATCAATAAAAGATTAACGCTCGATTATTACATTTTATTTTTGTTGAAAACATTTCAAATTCTTCAAATCTTTTTGATTACTATATTAATGCAGCTTTTTTTCTTTCTAAAATAATATTTGACAATTCTTTTAATTTACGTTCTCGTTGTTTATTTCAATATTGAGTTAAATTGCGCGTTTCTTCATAAATTCATTCATCAACTTGTAAAAGAAATTCTCCCAATCCTGTTGCTCCGGCTCGAGCTATTCATTCAAAAGCTTGTTTTTTACTCATACATTTAGAGATAGAGAACTTAAAGTAACACGCATTTCTCTTCTGTTATTTACTTGTGAATCTACATCAATATCAGTTTCTCGTTCACTTTTGGTTGGTGCGATAATAATATCACCAGCGGAAGTGAGTGTTTTGGGACTCTTTTTTTTCTCTACATTTTTCTATGTTATTAGAATTAACCCTATATCGTATGACTTCATTTTTAATATTATTCGTCGATTCAACATTTTCGGAAATAAGTATACTAAGTCTATTTCGTGCTTGTTCAAAACTATATTTAGGATTTAAATCACACTAATCATTACTTGATATGGATTTTATCGAGGTGAAATAATTGTTGGCATTAAAAATTGGATTCTACTTCTATTTTAAATATGACCCTGTTCGGAAAAATAGGATATTAATATGTTTTATTCATGCCTAGGTGGTAACATATCAACATTAATAATAAAATTATCTTGAAAGTTTTCATTTATGTTCGAATAGATAAGCGCCAGGGCTTTGTTGAAAAGCATCGCTGCATTCTAATTCTCATTCCTGTCTTTCTTTTAATTATGCGCCAATAGAATTCGAAAATGAAGGCATATATAATAATTTCATTCACGCTTGTTGTTGCGTTAGGGCTATTAGTGTGGATAGTTGTGTTCTCTTTAACCATTCCTGCATCCAAATACTCGTTTAACATAATTTTATACTTATAGACCCTAAAAGCTTTTTCATATATCTTTTCTACATTGTCGAAATTTTATTTTAAGTAATATTTCGAGATTACATTTGACCTTTATTTTTGAATTTGGAATACTGACTGAAACTGAAAAGGCAAACTTTAAAACTCTTGTGGAAAAATGTTAATAGGAGATCAATCTTTCCTTACGATATTCTGTTTGTATGTGATTTATATCATATAATCTCGAACTTTGCCGTGACCATCACCGTCACATAGATTAAGAGTTCTTTCACTTTGTGATGGAATAATATGCATTCGATGATGTCTACTCAAGTAATTAGAGTGTGAATGTGGATGTGAATAATTATTAAGTCGCAATTAGCACTACAAAAAACACCGTAGTATTAGGAAAACGTACTAGGGCGTGCCGAAAAACGGTGCAAGATCACCAAGAGAGTATAAGAAATCACTATGATATTATTATAGACAATTATGCATTGACATATGTGTATATATATAATTAATGCCCATTGCAGAGATAAAAGGTCGTGGTAATTTTTCGATAACTTTTGATCAACTAAGACCATCACGTTCGAGGTTATATAGTTGGAAAGAATCGAGTCTAATGCATCTTTTAGTATAACTGATTTGAGTATACAGACGCTTTCTTACGCCAGTTTGTTACGCCGATACATTACCTTTCTGTGTTTGCAACGAATTTTTTTGACATTCTAATTCACCTTATATCAAGTTGTAGCCGGAGTTTCGCTATATTAATGGAAAAGTTTTGCGGGTGTGGGTATGGGTGTGGGTGTTGGTGTGTGTGGGTGTGGGGTGTGGGTGTGGGGTGTGGGTGTGGGTGTGGGTGTGGGTATGGGTGTGTGTGTTGGTGTGTGTGGGTGTGGGTGTGGGTGTGGGGTGTGGGTGGGTGTGGGTGGGTGGGTGTGGGTGGGTGTGCGTATGAGGTGAGATATACACCCACACCCACACCCACACCCACGCCCACACCCACACTCACACCCGCACTCACACCGACACCCACACCCACACCCACCCACACCCACACCCACACCGACACCCACACCCACACCGACACCCACACCCACACCCACATCCACACCCACACCCATACCGACACCCACACCCATCCACACCCTGGCATCAGACATTTTTTGTATTTTTACTCTGTAGGAGTCAAATCTAACTTTCGATTAGCTGTATCTATCTTCTGCACACTACAATAATAATATGAAAGTTTTTTCTTTAGTGGTTTTTCACGATTTATTTCTAGAAATTCTCTCGGTTGTGGCATCTCTTATTGAATAGACAACCATATAGAACTATTAATTCTATATTAGCTTTCTCTATTGGTCACCTGTTTGACACATGCAAATATTTTTAATTAACTATGCACTTCATTGGATTTTACGTCATATTCTCATTGTTATCTGTTATATTTGTCTAAAACATATGCCATCAACAGTAGAAAAATACAAATGAATCTGTGACAACTAGAACATAAAACACTTCAATTTCACCTTGATAACACAAAGTGATATTAACTCTTTGAGTACCATTTTTTAGAGGATAAATGTAGTTTGTTTGAGATTTTCTATTTATTATGAGCAATGTGTATTGTATTTATGTCTAGCAAAACTTTCAAAAAATTTTTCAAGTCACTTTTAGCTCATGCCCATACGTTTCCATGGGGATGGCGAAGAGGTGTTTTGGCTATCCCTGTAAGGGAGTATGGATATGAACAAAATAAAAATCTAGACCGACCGGTCCGGTTAACTCTGCGTTGAATCAGCTCATCGAAGAAGATCCTAGATTGACTACACGATATTTAGCAGAACGACTTAGTTGCGTTCATGCTACAGTGGAAACACACCTGAAAGAATTAGGCAAAACATAGAAATATGGTATTTGGATACCACATGAGTTGTCACCCCGTCAGCTCTAACTCAGGGTTGACGCTTGTATGGAGTTAATGACGTCTCATTGCAACTACCAATGGTTCCACAATCTTATTACTGGTGATGAGAAGTGGGTGTTGTATGTGAACCATACACGCAAGCGGCAGTGGCTGAAGGCTGGACAAACAGGTGTAACAACGCCTAAGAATGAACTTCATCCAAAGAAGATTATGCTGAGCGTTTAGTGGGGTGTCAAAGGAATTATTCATTGGAAAATTCTTCCTGCTAGCTGCACTGTCACTGCTGATCTCTACTGTCAGCAATTAGACCGAGTTGCAGCAAAACTTCATGGGAAGCAGGATAGAATTTATTTTCTGCATGACAACGCCAGACTTCATATTGCAAAGTTCATGCGTGAAAAATTATTGAAGCTCGGATGGATTACACTTCCATATCCAACATACTCTCCTGACTTGGCTCCATCAGACTACCATTTTTTTCGTTCTCTTTCTAATTATGTGGGAGAGAAAAAATTCGACGACGAGAACGACCTCACAACGGGACTGTCCAACTTCTTCGCCCAAAAGTCTCAAGATTTCTACGAACGCGGGATCCTTTGTCTACCAAGACGTTGGCAAGAAGTCATAGACAGTGATGGAGCTTACATTGTTGAAAGCTGATTGTATTTTTTGAAGCTAAAAAATAAAAAGAAAATTTTCAAAAAAAGGCAAAAAAGTTTCTGGCCAACCCAATATATTGTTGTATGATAATTTATGAATGTACATGGAGGTTTTTTCGCTTCAGCAATACTCTACGCTCACATTCTGTAAAAGTAAAATCATTAAAAGATAATTCTTTATACATTTATATGCGTATATTGAGTGTTTCAATGCTTTAATAAATATTTCATAGTTTTTTTTTCATTGAAAATAAAACAATAATTACTTGTATTAATTTCAATATTTCGGCGACAATGATTGTATTTATTGTTTGAAATCATAGACATTTTTGTTTCGTTTACGTGTTAAACAATTTGTTTGGAACAATTAGAATATCGAAAAGTCACATAAATCTTCTTGATTGTAAATGACTACATTAAAATTCTGAATTCTATATTAATCTAGTACGTTTTATAACATATTCAAACTTTGTTTTGTTAAATTTAAGTTTTACTTTATTTATTCATTCAATAAGAATTTTTTCTATAGCTTTACCTATCTATGCAATCAAAAAGGTTTCAGTTAGATCATCAAATATCGAATTGAAGAAAAATAATAAATGATAACAATAAAATATAACATTGTCAAATGGAATTTACAAAATGATAAACATACCAAATGCCTAACTTTCAAGAAAAGAATGTGTTTTAATTATTTATTTTCATCTTTTACATAGATATTCTTTTAGAAATAATTTAAAAATCAATGTAGAAAACCGAAAAAACTAGACAATATTTGCTCTTCGAAGAAGCCACTTTTCTTCATTTATATTTGAAATACGAAGAGATTTATTAATGACCTATGAATGAATAATAAAAAAAAACAAATCGAATGACACAATATGAAAAATGAAAAGTCAACGCATATAGCAATAGTTTTATTACTTTAGCACGTATTGGAGACAATATTATATTTATTAATACCATCATATGTTGCTGGTTTTGTATAGATATTTCCTTTGCTGTCGAGTCGTATTCGCACTCCATAATACGAGAAATAAGTTCCTGGTACGATTGATGTAGAAATGGATGTACTAGGTGTCCATCGATTAACAGTACCGTTGCCAAATGTGTATACACTTCCTGAATTGTCAAGAGTCAAGAAAGCATAACCCATATATATACCAGATGAATAATAGAATAAATATCTACCATATGGATTCCCTTGTGAAAAGGCCAAAATTCGACTAAAGTACATATAATAAATCTTTCAAATGGTTAGAATTAATCGTCACATGCAACATATTCGAACTTATATGAAAAATAATAATTTGTCATGATTAAATCATCTTAGGTTTTTTATACGAACATATCGCTGTTTCAAAAATCCAAAAGAATTTTTACTTTACAAAAAAATATACAAATCAAGGAACTATCTACAATGTCTCATAGAATCATTCTCTACCTCATGATGGTAAATAACGTGCATTTATTAGTTTTCTCTTCGTCAAAAAGTTGCAAAGTCCGAAAATCTATTATATGTTATCTCATTATACGTGACTATATCATCTTTTTTTTCTGAAAATCTCTTCTTCTAGAAATCTTTGTCATTGAAAATTATGTCAGAATTTTTCATCTAAATAACATGTTCAACAATAAACAGAATAAAAACATAAATATGTCACTTGTCACAATATCAGATTTCTTTAGTATCTTACCTATTACCTGCATCTATGACATATAAAGTATAGTTTGCATCAACGAATATTCCTTGAGGATTATTTAATTGATTCAATTGTGATCCTGATGTATTTGTGACACCTGCAGCAACAGTAGCATATTGATTATTTGGTGTAATTTTGATTACACGGTGCATAGCATTATCAGAACAATAAATTGCACCTTGTCGATCAACAAATATGTCTATACATCCGCAAAATTGATTGACACTGGAACCACATACACTTTCTCCAAATATAGTAGTGCCATTAACCCAATTATTTGAATCGTACTTCTGAAGACGATAAGTCATAGATCCCACCATATAATCATACTGATGTAAATTCAGATGTAAATTTCAACAGAAACAACTGAAAATAATTTACATACTTCATTTTCATATGTATAGATGGTACCATTTGAGTCTACATATAACACATTTATAGTGAAATCTGAAGAGCTTCCAGAACGTGCGACGGGCATTCCAGTGAAATTGTTGGAAGAAAACTTGAATATTTTTTTACTGCTGTATTCGATTACGTAAATATTATCATTGTTATCGATAACAAAATCATTTGGTGAAAATTGATAACTACCATTGGAATATGCACTTATGATGACAGTTGCATTCTGATTCCATGTAGCATTTGAACATATTGAAGTTGATATAGAAACTATTTAACGTAGAAGAAAAGCACAAGATAAGGTTTTTTAACAGTTACTTAACTAGCAATAGATTATTTTCAAAGAGCAAGGATTATTTTATTTTTCATTTGACATCTCTAAGATAAAAATAGAGTATGTTTTGAATTCTTCCATGAAGTGCTTTGCATAAAAAGAATATTAAATCCAATTGAGTTTTTTAGAGAACTAATGTTGTAACACATCTGTTACTAAATGGAGTGTCTATCCAATGTGGCGATGTTCATAATCAATATCTGATCGTTTCTCTCAATTAGTAAAATACACTAATGATTTCGTTAACATTTAAAAGTGCTGTCCATTTCTGATGTACGTCAAATGATTAGGCTGTTTTCTTACTGGCGATAGACAATTTAGTGTGAGATAAAAATTATAAAAGTCATTATCTTCAATACATAAAAATTTGGCTAATTCTGCGTGATATGACAGAACAATCTTTCTTTTTAAATTTTGCTTTCCATGAAACAATTTTTTTGTAACAATGAAATATTTACAATTTCACACCAAACTATAACGAATTCGTAAAAATCATAGTATTTGCTCAAGCTAGACGGGTTTTTCTTTACGTGTTTTAACGATTAAAACTGAACTGAAATATAACACTGTTATATAGATACCGATAATCAAACTATACTGTATTCCGTCCAAGGGGAAAAAGCGAAACTGACTGTACTCCAGCGGACTCGCTGTACTCCCGGACTGTGACGAAGGTCTACTTTCAAGTTTTTTAGTTATTTCAATACGTCTATTAATCAGTGTTCTGGCGTAGTCATTTGAGTCCAGCTTATGTATTTCTGTCAGGCTCTAGAGTCAAAATATGTCACTGTACTCCACCTTTACTCAAATCTCCGAGTAAACAAGAGGTATTTTGACTCTGACGTCTGTTAGAAATACGTAAGCTGGACTCAAACCACTATGCCAGAACACTGATTAATAGACGTATTGAAATAGCTAAAAAGCTTGGAATTAGATTTTCGTCACAGTCCGGGAGTACAGCGAGTACGCTGAAGTACAGCCACTTTCGCTTTTTCCCCATTGATTCCGTCAGATATTATCGTAATTCGCACCAACACAGGAAAACTGTTACAGTCAAAATTTCTCGACAGTCACTGCAATATTAATCGGATAATTTGAGTCTAAGAAAACAACAATAATTGATGTAGACTTCAAATTATTGAAGAGATCTTTAACACAAATCAGTTTTTCAATAAGAAACTACCTGAATTTGTTGAGTTTTGTGAATTGCATGAACTCGAAAGAGCTAATGGCATACAAATCGACATCGCACAACAACTATTAATAACACAAACACTATTATTTGATGTACATTTTGAACTACTGGTACATTGATCAAATAAAGAACAAATCACTTGAGGAGCACATAATGTCGTATTGTTTGATGTTTTGAATTTATAGCAAACTGGTGATGAAGAACAACTACCATCTCCAGAATTCACATTGTTACAACGGTCAACTGAACAACTTGATGAATATTTTGATGTTTGACCTGTTAAAGAAAACTTTTCAAGCGGATGAATGATTATTATTTTGATATTTGCCTTGAACGATGGAAACTGGACAGAAGAAAATCGCAATAGCTAGCAAAAACATCATCATAGTTTATGTTGTTACTACCGATTGTGAAATTTGTCTGTAAATATGCAAATCACAGGATATAAATATGATTCGTAATGTTTTCTTTATTTTAATTATTTCTGTATTGATTTTCGTATTGTTGATTTAGGTAAAAGAGTGACTTAAACACTATTTAAATATCGAAAACACTCCAGGCAAATAGTGCTGATTTTATTCGAAAATATGAAAAATCTTTATTTTCTTACTTCATAGATGCAGAACAAACATTGTCGAATAAGTATTCACTATATTGACTTTACTCCTATTTCGATGGTAAACAAGAGATATTTCATTGAATCTCTGCAAGTATCGCAAATACTACGACCGTTCTATTGACATTCGTCTAAATCTTTTTTTACTTGCTAAAATACTTTACTAATAATATTTCGCGTTTCGTTCGGCTGAAAAATACGTTTCTTTTTTATATTCGTTATATCATTCCAATGAATAGCTGATCAATATTGAAGACAATATAGTTTCCGTTTCATATCAAAAATAGAGAAGTGTCTACTACGTTTTTGTTAATTGATCTCAGAAGGTAGCCTAGTACGAATAATATGTACATTTAATTATAATCATTTGTTTCTTTTGTTAAAAGTATTTTCTAGTTAATTGTAGCTTCTGAATTACTAAATATGACAAAATATTAGAAGAAGCTCGATTCTATGTTACATTTTCGAGTATCATACAGTGAACATCAGTAACAAATAATATTTCACTGTTGTCGTTAGAATATTTAATATGAAAAGATTCTTTTCGAAAATTACTATAAATTGTTGTGTATTACGATGTAATTTTTCGTTCATCGAATGGTTTTTGTAAAGAACTTTATTTTTCGATTTAGTGATTATGTTTTTCTTTAATAATTTAATGTTAAGCAAACAAATCAGATCAAAAAAATAGTAACTTTGCATTCGTTTTGCTTCGGTACTAATAACATATTATTTATATTTTACATGAATTACTTAGTTACGATTATAATCGTCGTGTTTTTTTCTATTCCTATGACGAAGTAGTTGTTACTTATCTTTAAAAAGTCAATTTGATAAGATTATGACTCATATTTGAACATTAGCACAATTTAGACTAATATATTTTCTATAGTGAATATGCAAAAATAAAAATAATTATGTCAAAAAATAAGGAGAAATCATCATCTATGACGTTCGTTGCATCAATGATTTGTTGAATGACGATGTAGAAAAATTGGATACCGTTTTCTATTTATTTAATAAAAAATCGATTTATTAAATATCAAGAGGAAAAAACTGTCCGATTGTAAGTGAATATGTTTGAGATGAGCTGTTATATCGATTGTTAATGTGAAAAATT